GGGGTTTCACCATGTTGACCAGGATGGTCTCGATCTCTTGACCTCGTGATCCACCCACCTCGGCCTCCCAAAGTGCTGGGATTACAGGCTTGAGCCACCGCGCCCGGCCGAAAATACACACTTTTAACCACCAGCGCGGCATGGGTGCTGACCAGGCTGAATTGATGCTGCCTGCCCTCACAGCCTGAAAGTAGATTCTGTTATCCTCCCTTCCTGTGGATGAGCAAACTGAGGCTCAGAGAGTTGATTCAGTTGTCCAGGTCACACAGCTATTAAAAATACAAGTTGAGGGCCGGGTGCGGTGGCTCACGCCTGTAATCCCAGCACTTTGGGAGGCTGAGGGGGGCAAATCACTTGAGGTCTGGAGTTCAAGGCTAGCCTGGCCAACATGATGAAATCCCGTCTCTACTAAAAATACAAAAATTAGCCGGGTGTGGTGGCAGACGCCTGTAATCCCAGCTACTTGGGAGGCTGAGGCAGAGACTTGCTTGAACCCGGGAGGCGGAGGCTGCGGTGAGCCAAGGTGACACAACTGCACTCCAGCCTGGGCGACAGAGGGAGACTCTGTCTCAAAAAAAAAAAAAAAAAAAAAAAAAAAAAAAGACACACTTATTCCACTTGTCTGTGGAAGGATCGAACCAGGTTACTGATCTCGGTGATACCCAGCAGCTGCCATGCAGAGCTCTCAGCCTGGTTCAGAGACAATGCGTGAGCCTGCAGGTGAGCGCAGGGGCTGGGTGACTCCCAACTGCCTCCCTGCCTTTCAGCAGAGAAGGCACGATTTTATTAGTTTCCTAGGTCAGTTGTAACAAATTAACACAAACTTAGTGGCTTGAAACAACAGAAATGTATCCTCTCACCATTTTAGGCACCAGAAATCCAAAATCAGTTTCACTTGCAAAAATCGAGGTGTGGACAGGACCGTGCCTCCTGGGGCTCTTGGGGAGCATCTGCTCTTGCCTTACCTCTTCCAGTTCTGGAGGCTGCCGCCTCACTCCAGTCTCAGCCTCCATGGTCACGTGGCCTTTCTCCTCTTTCGTTTGCAAATCTCCCTCTGCCTCCCTCCAAACACCGTCTGGAAAATTCAGGATACTCTCCCCATCTCGACATCCTTAGTTTAACCGCATCTGCAAAGTCCACTTTGCCACATCAGGTCACGTTCAGAAGTTCTGGGGATCAGGATTTAGGGTATTTTGGGAGGTCATTGTTTAGCCAACCATACCGTTTTCCTTCAGAATTTATGTCGTTGTACAAGCGCTACTTTAATGAGATTTGTGGAATTTAAAAGACTTAAACTTCCTACCTTTCATTTCCTCACACTACCAGGCCAGCGTCACCTTTTTCTTTCTCCCTTTTGTCCCTGAATATGCAAGCGAAGTCATACGTAACCCCCACCCAGAGGAACCACTGCTAACATTTTAGGAATCTCTTTCTAGCCTTTCCTTTTTTTTCTTTTTTTTTTTTTTTGAGACGGAGTTTCGCTCTTGTTACCCAGGCTGGAGTGCAATGGCGCAATCTCGGCTCACCGCAACCTCCGCCTCCTGGGTTCAGGCAATTCTCCTGCCTCAGCCTCCTGAGTCGCTGGGATTACAGGCACACGCCACCATGCCCAGCTAATTTTTTGTATTTTTAGTAGAGACGGGGTTTCACCATGTTGACCAGGATGGTCTTGATCTCTTGACCTTGTGATCCACCCGCCTCGGCCTCCCAAAGTGCTGGGATTACAGGCGTGAGCCACCGCGCCCGGCTTGTTTTTTTTTTTTTTTTTTGAGACAGGGTCTCACTCTGTCTCCCAGGCTGAAGTGCTGTGGTGTGATCTCGGCTCACTGCAGCCTCCGCCTCCAGGGCCCAAGAGATCCTTCCCCTTTAGCCTCCTCAGTAGCTGAGACTACAGGCGTGTGCCACCATGCCCAGCTAGTTTTTGTATTCTTAGTAGAGATGGGGTTTCACCATTTTGGCCAGAATAGTCTAGAACTCCTGGCCTCAAAGTGATCTGCCTGCCCCAGCGTCCCAAAGTGCTGGGATTACGGACATGAGCCACTGCACCTGGCCGAGGTTTCCTTTATGATTTAGACAACTTTCTTCAACAAAAATCAGCTCAGGCCGTACATGTGATTTTGCAGCCTCTCATCACCTCATGGAATACAAATCGTTTTCTAAGTCAATGAATGAATATACATCTACCAGATTATTTTACATGGCTGGATAGTATTTTATCATATGGATGTACATTTTCATTTTATTCAGGCCAAAGCTTCAAATGTAGCTTTACTCAGGAGAGTTTAGAGAGTTGGCAAGAACCAAGGAAGTGACCCCTAAATGATAGTCCTGCTTCATCTCTGTGGGATACTTTCTGTGTGCCGTATCCTGCCTTACCTGATTTGAACCTACCACAGCCCTCTGTAGAGACTGTAATTAACCCATTATACAAATGAGGAAGCTGAGGCTTGACTTCCCTGGATTACACAGCTGGGAAAAGGTGGAACCAAGATGTAGGCCTGGCTTGCCTGACTCCAAACCTCTGTACCTAGTGCCTCTGCAGACCAGGGCAGCTCCAACTGGAACGAGCCTGAGAGTCCCCTGGAGGTGGGGGCCCATTCCCAGAGTTTCTGATGCACGGGGACCCAACAATGTGCATTTCTAGCAAATTCCTGGTGTTGCTAATGCTGCTGGCCTGGGACCACATTTTGAGACCTCTGCATGTGGGAACCTGCCGCGTTCGGTACAGATCATTTTCACGTCATTCCTCTACAGGGAAACTCCCTGTCTGTCTCCTGCTTACCCTTGAGGCTGTCCCCTTGTCTCCAATTTTAATTTTATTTTCTAGAGACGGGGTCTCGCTATGTTGCCCAGGCTGGAGTGCAGTGGCTATTCACAGGCGTGATCCCACTACTGATCAGCACGGGAGTTTTGACCTGCTCCGTTTCCGACCTGGGCCGGTTCACCCCTCCTTAGGCAACCTGGTGGTCCCCCGCTCCCAGGAGGTCACCATATTGATGCCAAACTTAGTGCGGACACCCGATCGGCATAGCGCACTACAGCCCAGAACTCCTGGGCTCAAGCGATCCTCCAGCCTCCGCCTCCCAAATAGCTGCGACAACAGGCATGCACCACCATGCCCAGCGCCTCCACCTTTTAAATTAATTAACTTGTTTTTACTTTGTTTTCAGCAACAGAGTCCTGCTCTGTCACCCAGTCTTGCTCTGTCACCCAGTGGTACAATCATAACTCACTGCAGCCTTGACCTCCTGGACCGAAGCAACACTCCCACCTCAGCCTCCCGAGCAGCTGGGACCACAAGCCCATGCCACCATATTCATTTAGTTTTTATTTTATTTTATTTTATTAATTTATTTATTTTTTGAGACAGAGTTTCACTCGTTACCCAGGCTGGAGTGCAATGGCGCAATCTCGGCTCACTGCAACCTCCGCCTCCTGGGTTCAGGCAATTCTCCTGCCTCAACCTCCTGAGTAGCTGGGATTACAGGCACACGCCACCATGCCCAGCTAATTTTTGTATTTTTAGTAGAGACGGGGTTTCACCATGTTGACCAGGATGGTCTTGATCTCTTGACCTCGTGATCCACCCGCCTCGGCCTCCCAAAGTGCTGGGATTACAGGCTTGAGCCACCGCGCCCGGACTTCATTCAGTTTTTAAACACTTTTTGTAGAGACAGGGTATCGCTATGTTGCTCAGGCTGGTCTCAAACTCCTGGCCTGAAGCGATACTCCTGTCTTGGCCTCTCAAAGTGTTGAGATTATAGGCATGAGCCATCGTGCCTGGCCTCTGTCCCCACCTGGAGTAAATCAAGCATGTCTTGAAGTCCAGACCCAAGAGAAGGAAACAGTGAGGCCCCATAGGGGCTCCCAAGTTAAAGATGAGGCAGCCTTAGCCTATGAACTGGATTCTTTTGTTGCATGCCTGGTTCTGTGTGTATTTGTAACTCTGGGCGCTGAGCGTAGTCTCCTTTAGAAGTTCTGCCCTTAGCTCACTAGGCTGCTTGGTGTTTGGGAAGAGGCATGGTGGACAGTTGGACCAGTGACGGAAGCCAGGGCTGTGCTGTCCTCTGGCCAGTGTGGTGGGGAAGGAAACTCTGAGGGATCCCTGTCAGGGCCACTTGTCCTGGCCACGTACCTCATGTGGGGAGGCTCTGGTTGCCTGCTGCATCGGTTAGATTTTGATGCATAAAAAACCACCCAAAACTTAGTGACTTGTTTAAGATGACAGCCATTTGCTTAGCTCATGATTCTGTGGGGCTCCATTTCTTCAGGTCTTGCAGTTGGGTCTTGCAGATGTGCCTGCCCCTGGTGGGCAGGTCAGCGGGGGGCTGGTTGCGGTAGGATGGCCTCGGCGGGGGCACTCTGTCTCCGTTCTGTGTAGTCTCTCATCCTCCAGCAGGCGAGCCCGGCCACGTGCTCATGGTAACTAGCAAAGTCCTAAGGAAAAGGGTGGAAGCAGCAAGGCCACCTGGGACCTATGCTCAGAACAGGCATGATGAGCGGTCACCTCCAAGGCATTCATTTGGTCAAAGCAAGTGGTGAGGCCAGCACAGATTCAAGGGGGTGGGGTGATAAATGTCATCTCTGATGGAAGCAGATGCAAAGTCACGTTGCAGAGCCTGTGGATACAGGGAGGGGTGGAGCCTGGTGGCCGTTTTTGCAATCCGAGCCTGGGGGAGCTGCGGACAGGTGTGTGGTGGCCCTTGCAGGGGTACAGACGTGCTGCAGCGGGTCTCATCTGCACCCTACCTCTCCCCCAAGACCTCCTCAACGGAGTGAAGCTGGTGGTGGAGACACCCGAGGAGACCCTGTTCACCTACCAAGGGGCCAGCGTGATCCTGCCCTGCCGCTACCGCTATGAGCCAGCCCTGGTCTCCCCGAGGCGCGTGCGCATCAAATGGTGGAAGCTGTCGGAGAACGGGGCCCCAGAGAAGGACGTGCTGGTGGCCATTGGGCTGAGGCACCGCACCTTTGGGGATTACCAAGGCCGCGTGCACCTGCGGCAGGACAAAGAACATGATGTGTCCCTGGAGATCCAGGATCTGCGGCTGGAGGACTATGGGCGTTACCGCTGTGAGGTCATTGATGGGCTGGAGGATGAGAGCGGTCTGGTGGAGCTGGAGCTTCGGGGTGAGACCCTGGCAGGGACTGGGTGACACTGGGACCTCAGAGCAGAGTGGAGAGGACCAGAGAAAGCATCCAGTCCTCTGTGCTTTAGACATTTAAAAGTACTTAATCCTCAAAACAACCCCAGGGGGAAGCTACTGTTACCACCCCCATCTTACAGGTGAGGAAACTGAGGCACAGAGAGGTCAAGTAACTTACCTAAGGTCACACAGCTTGTAAACAGCAGAGCTGGGGTCTGAATCCAAGCACCCAGCCTCTAGAATCTGTTCCCCTCTCTACCTGCTGTCATTCATATCCCATTCAGAGAGCAAAACCAGAGCTGGCGCCACAGCTTAGAGACAGGGCTGAGATTTAAGCAAACATAGCAGGCAACACAAGCGAATGAGGCAGCCCAGTGTGAGCTGATGGGAGCGGTGGGGACTGGGAACACTCCTGAGCCCTTGTACTGTCCCCAGGGAACCCCCGCTCTACTCAGGCCCAGCTGATGATGCCACACCAGAATGCAGGCCCTGCTCTGCCAGATTTTCTGGCTTGACAAGATAAGCTTATATTTTTATGTGAGATCTCTTTATTTTTATGTAAAAACTTCCTTTAAAAAACAAACAAACAAATCCAGTGCTGTCCAAACCAGTCACACCCTTCAAGCCGATCTTGTATGTGGGGTCCCTGTTTGATCTTTAATCTGTATTTGGCTTCTCTGTCTCTAGGATGGGGCTGTGTCTCCTCATATCTTTCCCACGTGTTAGGGAGGCAGTTCGGGGGTAGAGGAAGGTGCCCTGACTCCAGCATCAGCCCGTCCCAGCTGTGACATCTGGGTAAATGCCCCACCCGCCTCGGAGCTCTTGGCCTCTTAGGTGTAAAATGGGGAATCACAGTCACCCCTTGTTTACCGCCCTCAGTGGCGATGAGGGTAAAATGTACATCCTTGAAGTTCATTCTCTCTCTGCCACCAGTGTCCACATGGCTTAGATGGTGGCTCAGAGGGGCCACATTCCTCCTTCCTGAAGTTGGGGTGGCAGTGGAGTTGGGGAGAACCTACAAGAGTCATTGGTCTGGGGTCTGCAGGGGCAGCCTAAAGAAACAGGGGGCCCTCACCCCATTCTCGGGGCTGCAAGGGCTAGGAATTTGGAACCAGGCATGAAATAGTCTCCTTGCAAACACATGGAGGCTACCAGCTGACGGTCAGGGCCCATGGGCTTCCCTGCCGCCCAGCATGGCTTTGCCCAGGTACCTGCCCTCCAGGTGTCTGGTGAGATTGGAGGTTTGGGACTCAGGCTATTCTCAGGTCCTTGGCACAGGGAGGAGATTCCAAGGACTTTGGGTAAACAAAGGCAGCCAATCAATGTCTTTCCCAGACCCCTAGGGTCACCTCTACTGTGTCAGGTTTCATTGACTTGGTAGAGACTGAATCTCAAAACTTTATTAAGTTTTGAATTAAAATTATAATTAAAATTTCAAACATGAACATACCTTTTGAGGGAAGCCTGTGGCCCCAATCAGACCCCGGCCACAAGGAGAGAAGCCTCCTGCCCCAGGACCTCCCTGACCTTGAGCCTCCCTTATGGAAGGACGCTTCACCAGCCTCTCCCCACAGCCTCCAGGGCCTCTCTTTCTCTTGACAATTATCTGCCCCACGTGGAAAGTTTCTTGCATCTTCCTAGGAAACTTCCACATTCATAATAACATATACGATCGGGTCCCAGCTAATGAGAGGAGAGCTGGGAGCCAAACCTGGCCCTACAGCCCCAGCCTGGCCCTGTCTGGAGAAGATGCACAACCTTACTAGGGGCCTGGGACAGCCCTGTGAATTAGGTTTCATTTCCATTCTATCGTTGGGGACATTAGTTGACTAATTAATTACCTTAACTCCTGAATGTTTTCTGAGCACTGCTGGGAACCAGCTGAGTCTCAGGAGAGAGGTGGCAATGGACGGGAGCTCAGAGGTTTGCTGAGTTTTTCTGAGGGATGGCGTGTGTGTGTGTGTGTGTGTGTGTGTGTGTGTGTGTGTGTGTGTGTGTTGCAGGGAGCACGTGTCACAGCGAGGGTGGGAGGAGAGCGGGGTATCCAGCTGCTGGGCCCCTGGCCACCCACTAAGCTCCTCTTTCCTCCCCGCAGGTGTGGTCTTTCCCTACCAGTCTCCCCAGGGGCGCTACCAGCTCAACTTCCACGAGGGCCAGCAGGTGTGTGCAGAGCAGGGTGCGGTGGTGGCCTCCTTTGAGCAGCTCTTCCGGGCCTGGGAGGAGGGCCTGGACTGGTGCAACGCGGGCTGGCTGCAGGACGCCACGGTGCAGTACCCCATCATGCTGCCCCGCCAGCCCTGCGGCGGCCCCGGCCTGGCCCCTGGCGTGCGAAGCTACGGCCCCCGCCACCGCCGCCTGCACCGCTATGATGTGTTCTGCTTCGCCACTGCCCTCAAGGGTGAGTGGAATGGCCACGCCCAGGCCTTCAGGGGTGGTGCCCATCCGGGACCTGTGGGAGGGCAGCTTCTGGGGAGCTCTGGCCCCCTCTGCCTGCTCTGCTGGCACTGCCACCTGGGGGCCAAGAGCACCAGCCAACCCTGAAGCACGTCGGTTGAGTTCCGACTGCCTTGCTGCTGCTGCTCCGTGCCAACCATTAGTTTCTTCATTCATCAAATGTTTCCGGAGTGCCCACCGTAGACTGGGGCCTAGTCTAGGCTCTGGGGAGTCACAGGCAAACAAAACACAGCCTGTTTCACAAAGTAGCTCATTTCATAGGAAGACAAGCAAGTAGAAACAGAAACTGGTTCAGTGCCATATGCCAAGCCTTGGAAAAGTGTCTGGCACATAGTGGGTGCTGCCATCCCCAGCCCTTTCCTGTGTCTCCATCTCATTGGGTCTAAGGGCGCAGCCCCCTGCCTGGTGGGTGTGGTGGGGGGAGCTCCGTAAATGCCTGAATTTGAGAGAGACTCTGGTCCAGCCCAGGTGGGGAGCCCACCCAGGGTGCAAATGGGGAAGGCTGGTGGAGGAGTTGCAGACATGGCTGGAGGGACCCCGGTTCTACGGCAGGTGGATGGGGCTCTCTGGAGAGGGTGAAGACCGGGAGGTGTTCCCGGAGGTGTTCTCTGCAGACGCCTACAGCATGGTAGCTCTCTGGGCTCAGACAGGTCTTTGGGGCTGGCATCTCTGCAGACCTCGCTGAGTTCTCTGGCTGCCCGCTGCGCTGCCCGGCACTCACGCCCCGTTTCCTGCAGGGCAGGTGTACTACCTGGAGCACCCTGAGAAGCTGACGCTGACAGGGGCGAGAGAGGCCTGCCAGGAAGACGGTGCCACGATCGCCAAGGTGGGCCAGCTCTTTGCTGCCTGGAGGTTCCAGGGCCTGGACCGCTGTGATGCTGGCTGGCTGGCAGATGGCAGTGCCCGCTACCCTGTGATTCACCCGCATCCCAACTGCTGGCCCCCCGAGCCTGGGGTCCGAAGCTTTGGCTTCCCCGACCCACAGAGCCGCCTGTATGGGGTTTACTGCTACCGCCAGCGCTAGGAGCTTGGCCCTCCGCCACAGCTTCCCCACACCGGCTGTGTGTTTATTGAGTGGCTCATTTTCCCTGGTGGGTTGGGGCTGTTTTCACTGTTTTTATACTTCTCAATGTAATTTTCTGAACATTTTTTTACTATTTTTTGTAAAGCACTCAGAACCCAGTACCTCCCTTTGCTCCTGGATGCCCCACTCAGGAATCCTCCTGCCGGCTCCTCTGGGCCATTGGCGGTTTCTTGGGCTTCTGGAGGGTTCTGCACCATCCAGGCTGGTCTCCTTCATTAAGGGGGTTGGTGCCCAGAGCGGGTGGTGGCCTGCCCAGAATGCTGCCCAGAGTCAGGGCATGGCGGCCACAGCTCTCCCTGCCCCTCAACCTGGAGAAGAAGAGGGCCTTGGGGGCCTCTGCAACTGGGCTTTGGGCCTCTCCTGCCCGCTTCGACCTCTCTGTGAAGCTGGTAACCCCAGTCTGCCCACTGAGGGGCTAGGGCTGGAAGCCAGCTCTAGGCGTCTGGGTGAAATCCGAGGGAAGGGAGAACTCCCCCTCCCCACCCCACTCAGTTCCAAAGAGTCTGTATTGTTATTAGTTTCTCATTTTTCCCTGTGTGGGGAGGGGCCCTCAGGTGTGTGTACTTTCTTGGGACAATAAATGGTGCTACGACAGCCTTCTGCCGTCCCCAGCCCTGTTCTCTGTCTCCATCTCATTCGGTCTCAGGGTGCAGCCCTCTGCCTGAAGGGTGTGGTGGGGGCAGTTCGAGCCCAGACTTCCCAGGTCACCTGGGTCCCGCCCTGGGGTGAACAGGGAACTCCGTGGGCTGGTTCTAGCCTTGTCTGCCCTGTGGTTCGCCCGGTCCTGGGTGCCGGGCTGGTGGCAGAGGACCTGGCTTGTGTCTTCACTGTCCCCACCCCTTGGCAGCCTGTCTGTCTCTGTGAGGCCCAGCAGAACTAGAGGCACCTCTCAGAAGGCAGAGGAAGCCATGCCACCAGAGGACCTCAGAGGCCCAGATGGAGGGGCCAATCCTCCGTGTGCCTCACCCTCTGCCACCCACTCCCACACCTGCCTTAGGAAACCAGACTCGTTGCCTTGCACAGGAATGCCGCTGCCACTCACCAACCCGTGATTTGATCCGTTCTTCCCTTAGCCCGGTGCTTCTCACAGTGTGGTCTGCGTCAGCATCATCAGCATCGCTGGGATCTTGTGAGAAGTGCATTCCTGGGCCCCGCCAGAGACCTGCTGAGTCGGAAAGTCTGGGATGCCGACCGGCACTCTGTGGTCACCAAGCTCTTTAGGTGATTCTGATGCACACTCAAGTTTGAAAACCACTCACAGTTGTACCACCACCTAATCCGTTAATTAATAGTTAAGTAATTATTGAGCGCTTACTATGTGACCAGTGCTGTACGCTTTGCTTTGGCCCACCGTTCGTTCGTGCGTTCTCTCTCTCTCTTTCTTTCTTTTGAGATGGAGTTTCGCTCGTTCTGAGTCTGGAGCGCAATAGCGCGATCTCGGCTCACCACAACCTCCACCTCTCAGGTTCAAGTGATTCTCCTGCCTCAGCCTCCCGAGTAGCTAGGATTACTGGCATGCACCACCACATGTGGATAATTTTGTGTTTTTAGTAGAGACAGGGGTTTCACTCTGTTGGTCAGGCTGGTCTCGAACTCCTGACCTCAGGTGATCCGCCCGCCGCAGCCTCCCGAAGTGCTGGGATTGGCCTACTGTTCTTTCTAGAGGTAGAGGTACAAGCATATATCTACCAACAAACAGCTGTACACACACCCACGCCTGAAAAGTTAGCAGGACCCAGGAACTCACACTAGCATGCACTAAGCAACACACACACATTCACAAAGACTCCATGGTGTGTGTACAGCGACGGTGATGAGGGAGGCATCTGAGGGGGAGGCCCTGGGGGAAGGACACTGCCTGGGACGCACGTGCCACCTCAGCTCTCAAGGTTTGTGGGGGGAGTCTGTAAACAATTGGAATTGTTTTCCTCGCTATTCTGCAGGGTACTTAGGGGCAGAATGCCCAGGCCTTTTTGTTACTAGCTGGCAAGCAGTTCACCCTGAAAATGTGTAAGCGAGATTCACGGTTCCCACACGGTCTGCAGTTGGTTTTTCCTTCCCCTCTTATAAATCCTGATTTTTGCCTCTGTTCTTGGACGCAGTCTACCAACCCACATGAGCAGTGTGGTCACAGAGAGCCAAACCACCAGGTGACCAGATGTCTCGCTTGAGTTGTTCTTTGACAGTGCCCACTTGCAAATCCACATGGCACCCACCGACTGACACATCGCACACGTGACAGGCACACCCAGGTGCACACACGTATACAGACACATCACCTGTGCTGACACGCAGATCATCCACCAAACACATTGGCACCCTAGTAAAAATAAAGCACAACAGATGTGACTGTCCCAGGCTCTCTGAACAGACCAGAGTGGCAGAGTCCCACCAATTTGAGATCATTGGATCAAAACCTGCCTCCACTGCCACCATTCCTATGAGCCCCTTTGGAAGACTCCAGGTCATGACTGCCTTCTTAAATTAAAAAAGGGAAAAGAAAAGAGATATCTCTTCCAATGTCTTTATTATTATTATAATATCATAATCTTCGGTTTTCAAAAATATAAATAGGTGCACGGAACCCTGGTGCCTGCACGGTCCCGGGGGTTGGGGGTGGGGAGGGGAGAAGGTTGGGCGGCACCCCCACTGGGAAGGAAATGCCCCCAGCAGCCCTGCCAAGTTTCCACCTGCTGGGGTGGCAGACCCAGGTGAGAGGACACTGGAAGATGGACCCTTGGAGGGAACCCAAGCCCCACGCGGCAGAAGGTCCCTCTGATGGCTCTCCCCTGCCAGCTCACCCTCAGCAGGAGGCAGGAACCCGCCCCTCTCCCCCAAGGCTTCTCCCTCAGACAGACGGTGCAGCCTTCCTGGCTTCTCATCCAATACATTCCGCTGCGGTTCTTCATGCTCTCAGGCCTTTGCCCTTTCCAGCTCCTTCGGAGCCCTCCTCCCTCCTCCCTAGCTCTCCCTGGAGGTGAAATGACCAACGATTGCACTGCTCTTGGATAAAGTCAGGAAACAAAAATAATCTTCTTTATTTAACTTAGCCCCTCCCCTTCTCCCCCTGTCCCTGCACTGGTTCCTCGAAAGGCACGATGGGAGATTGAAGAAATGTCTCTAAACTTAGTCCACGAGTTATGATAAGTTTGCTTTGCTTTGGCATTCGGCGGACAAATTAGATGCGGTTTTCGTGATGTGGAGGGGTGAGTGGGTGCATACACAACGTGGGATTTATTTTTTCCTTCTTTAATGGGATTCCTTATATGACAAAAAGCGACAAGAAGAGGACACCATCTGGGTGGGTCCGTGTCAGCCTGGCAGGCTCCTGGGCTCAGCGTCCTGGTGCGTTCTGGAAGCCCCTCTCAGTGGGCCGTGCTGGAGGGGCTCCTCCGAGGGTGCCGTGAGCTTCGCTTCTGTAGTCTGCGTTTGTAGGTGGTGGCTAGGGTGAAGGGAGATGGAAACACGTCAGTGGACCTGGAAAGAAGGTGGGGCGAGCCTCGGCTCTCCCCAGCTTGCCCTCTCTCCCTTGCGGAAACCGGGGACTCACTGAGGCGCCGGAGGCTTTATCAGCTTCCCCGGTTTTGATTTTTCTTGGACTTTCTGGCTTTTTGTCCTTCATTCTCTCAGTGAGAGTCCCCTCCTGGGACAAGTATGTGGCCCTTCTAGGGGCACCGGTCAGCGATTTGTGACTGAGCAACCCCCTGACCTCCCCAACCTTGCTCAACCCTGCGGATGGTGCAGGGTGCCCGCGAGAGGGGACTGGGGGGAGGGCTGTGCTGGCGGAAGCTAACCCTGTGCTCAGCGAGGGTGGCAGGGGTGATGCTCACGGTCTGTGCAGGTGATCCGAGGCTCCTCCCAGTGCCCGCTGGGCTGGCACCGGATAGTTGGCACGTGGCGCTGAACAAACCCCTCCGTGCACTGGTACCGCACCAGGGAATTGATCTCATACCGGTCCTTCTTCTGCCCAAAGGTCCTGGCATGCTCCACCGCAGGGGGTTCTCCGCAGGCCACTGAGGGGCAAACACCCTTTATAAAGGGTCTCGTAGGGTCTTCTTGGATGACCTACACTGGCTGTGACCCGAGGCACTGTGGGGGACACAGCCTCAACACCTGACACTGAGCCCTGGGCATTTTCCTGCAGCGCTAAGAATCTGGAAGCCGCTGGCTCTAACATCTGGGTTCCTCAACAGTTTAGAACAGCAGGAAGGGAATACAAAGGGGGTGGTCCTTAAAGGAATGGAGAGAAGATGGAAGGGAGGAAGAGCTGAGCACGGTGGCTCACGCTTGTAATCCCAGCACTTTGGGAGGCCAAGGTGGGTGGATCATGAGGTCAGGAGTTGGAGCCCAGCCTGACCAACATGGTGAAACCCTGTCTCTACCAAAAATACAAAAATTAGCTGGGTGTGGTGGCACATGCCTGTGATCCCAGCTACTTGGGAGGCTGAGACAGGAGAATCGCTTGAATCGGGGAGGCGGAGGTTGCCGTGAGCTGAGATTGCGCCACTGCACTGCAGCCTGGTGACAGAGTGAGACTCTGTCTCAAAAGGAAAGAAAGAAAGGGAGAAGAAAGGTATGGCAGACTCGGGTTTCTTGATGAAAATATCCAGTTCAGGGCAAAATGAGACCCAAAGGAGGCCCGGGGGACACAGGTCGTGAGCAGGGGCAGTGGGGCATATCCTACCAGCACTCAGCCCACAGTCTGAAAGCCAAGGGACCGAGGCCTGACAACTGTGACTCTGTGACTGATGGCCTTCGGAATCCCAAAGACAGGGAGGCTCCTCACCCGGGGGCCCTCGGGGGTCACTCTGCTGCTGCTATCCAAGGGAATGTGTGCAGTGCGGCGTGGGGGTCCTGTCCTCTAACCTGTGACCTTCATGTGCTCGCTGTCCCTGCAAATGGTCCCTGGCAGAGAGCTCGCCCTTGCCATTGGCCCTGGGATGCTGGTGCTGGGAGGGATCCCCAGGTCAGCTCGTCTGCTTTTTGGACAGGTGAGGAGATGCCAGCGGCCAGGAGACAAGGAAGTCACCCCAGACCGCAGAGCAAGAGCCTCACCTGTAGCTGGGGGTCTCGACCCTATCCTCGCCGGACCCCTCCCGGCCCAGCATACCTGTGCCCTTTTTACACGTGAAGGGCAGGTGGTAATTGCAGGGAACGTCATTCCACTCGCCCTTCTCGTGCCAGATCATCACCACGCAGTCCTCTCCGGCGGCAAAGAAATTATCAGGTTGGTTGGGGCGCCAGTTCTCAAATTGCTGTGGGTGGAAGTGGGGAAGGAGTAAGGAGGGGGCAGCGCAGGGCGGGGTGGCCTGACCCCCACCGTCCTCCCCATGGAGTCTCTTTGTTGCCTCCTTTCTCCTTTAGCCCAACTTCAGGCTCATCTGATAGCTACACAGAGGCTGCTAGGCGTCTGCTCTGGGCTGTTCTAGGGGCTGTGGAATCTGGGGTCCTCTAGGGAATCGGTCACACAGCCTGGCTTGGGTCCTTCTCAGGAGCTCAGAATCCCCAAGACTCACAGGCCCTGTTCATGCGCTGATTCCTCTCCTCTTATCCAGAAGGGCCAACCAGGGCTGACCACAAAAGGCTGCCTTGCTTGG